CTGTTGTACTGCTGTTGTATTTTTTTGTACAGGTTTAGTACTTAGGTTATATTATAGAAGTATTTCTGTTGTATTCAGGTAATATTATCAAGGTTATATTCCAATGTAGTATTAAGGTTATATTCTGGTAGTTTTTCCGTTGTATTCTGTAATTATTATAGTATTATCTCTGTGATACTCAGGTAATATTATTTAGGATAACGTTATATTCTAGTGTTACTCAGAATTAGTGCTTAGGTTATATTATAGAAGTTTTTCAGTTGTATTCGGGTATTATTATTATTAAGGTTATATTTTGATGTAGAATTAAGGTTATATTCTGGTCATTTCTTCGTTGTATTCTGTTATTATCATAACATTGTTTCTGTAATACTGAGTTGAGATTTAAGGTGTTGTTAAATAGTGGTTGCTTTTGTATTATAATTAAATAGCAAGTTTTATTGCTGTTTAATGATGATTTTTAAAGGTAATATTGTGTGCACGTGTGTAGAACTCAAAAACACTAAAATAAAAATTACCTGGATGAACCCTCTTCGCTTTCCTTCTTCTTTCGCTCTTTTCCTTCCTTTTTCTTGGGTTTCTCGGCTTGCATTGTCGATTCCTCTTCGGTTTCCATTATCACGGGCTCTTCCGTCTCCATTCTCACTGGCTCTCTTCGGTTTCCAACGACAAATCTAACAGCCTGAGTTTATCTGATTCAAAAACCCTAAAAGATTGAATAAAGATTGAATGAAGGTCCTCTGTGCGATCCTCGCTCGGGCGTCGTTTGGTTTTTCGAGGAATAAGTTTCTTTCAGGCGCTCAGTTAACTTTTACACGTTTCGGGCCAGATTCGGGCCGGGTCGCGCCGTATACATGTCTCAATTTAATTTTTTAAGTTGTGGGGCCCACTATTCCAGGTGTCATATTTCCATTGGACACCGCACGCATAGTTGCGTGCGGTGTCCGCACAGAATAAGAACTCAAATTTCTCACAGCTTATTCCTTCTGACATCAAATATGTAAATTTTAATATTTATTTACATAACATTTAAATTTTAAATATTATATTAAAATATTATTAATTTTAATTTTTATCATATAAAAATATTTTTTAATTCAATTGCTTTCATGATATTGGTAAATATCAAAATTTTGATATTAGATATTTAGTGAATTATATGATAAAACTAATTTTTGCTATATTACTTGTCTTAATTTCATGTTTTTGTACATGATATTGATTTAATTAATGTGTGGTATGTAGTAAAACCCTCAGGAAAAAAAGTTCAAAGAGTAGGGATTTGAAGTGGCAGTGCCACAACATCATCATCAACACCGTAGTACTATGTTGGAGATTTTCTTAATAATGTTCTACAGGTTGCAATACGATCGTGGAGTGAACTTGGAAATAGAAGACTGAGAGTTCAATATCTTAATGTTAACCATGGAGCACTGCAACACTGCATCTAGAGCCTCGTGGCATAATGACCCTACCAGATAGTTATCTAACTTCAAATCAAAATTTCAAGGGCGAGAAGAGTGGTTATTAACGCTGGCATGGCTTAAAACAACATTTAGAATGTAATAAAAAAATCATGTGCTTCGTCTACTCCTTTTTAGAAAAAAAAAATTGTTTAAATTACTTAGAAAATGAGGATTTATTTAAAATTTCAAGTTAATAATTATAGTCATTTATCGTTCTTTTACGATCCTTGGTTTAATAGTTTATCCCTTAGAGATCATCATAGTTATTTTATTTTTTATTGGTTTAATCTTCCTAAGTATATTTTACTTAAGAATGTTATTATAGAAGTAGATGGAATTTATTTAATTTTTAGAAATGCTCTGGTTTATTATCCTAATGATATTAATAACGTTTTTATTATTTATGGGGATTATTGTCCTTGGGATCATAAGAATTTTTATTCCCATAAGACTTGTTTACTCTTCTCTCTATGGTTTTCTTCTTTGTGTTGATTCATTTAAATTTATTTGGCTTAAATGTTATTTTATTAAGTTTACCTATTACACTTGAAAAATTATTCACAAAAGTTTGAAAACTTGCGATATTCTTTCTCAAAGAGGGATGAACATTAATGATATTTGTCTCACGTGGCGATAGTTTAGAGACTCATGACCATCTTTCTTTTGAATGTTATTTCTCCCATTCTCTTCTTAATAATTGTGCGTCGAATAGAAATTTTTTTATTTTCTCTGCCAACATTTTATAAGTCTTGCAGAACTTATAAATAGTTTCAACTTTTTGTTTTGTAAGTTACTATTTATTACATTTGGTTTAAGAGGAACTCGAGAATTTTTAGGGAATTTAATGCTTTTTGGATATGCTTATTTATTACATTCATTAGATGATGATCTTTAAAAATAGAAATTGGAAATTCAAAGCCCATTCCTGATTATATCATAAATTTTTATAATTTTTAATCCCTTTTTCTTTTTTTTTTCAATCTTATTTGTTTTTGTTCTATTTTTCTGTTTTTACCACTATTTTGTTGTTTTCAATTTTCTTTCTGATTTTGATCAGATTTTCCACTTTCATTTTATTATTTTGGTTTGATTTTGGGTAGAGCTTTGATGTTTTCCATCTTTATATTACAATTTAACCATATTTTTGTATATCTTTTATTGGTTTATATTGGATGTAGTTTTATATTTTCAATGCAGAGAAGTTCTATGCTCATTTTCTTTTTCTTGTAGGTTTTCTTTGAGCTTTATTTTGTTCCTATTGGTTTGTAGCTTCACATATTGTGTCGCTGGTTCTTCTTCTCTTTATTCAATATTTGTAGGATGTTTTATTGATTTATGGATAACCGTCTTTATGATTTGCTTTTGAGCCTAATTTTTACTTGATCTATGATGTCCTATGTCATTTCTTTCTGGTTTAACCATCTTTGAAATTCTTATATGGTTTATTCATTTACTTTGTTTGATTCATTAAACTTGACCGAAGGGTTTTCTATCATTTAATGAATTAAACTTGTAGTCGAGTCATCTTTCCTGACAATTTACTATCTAATACCTTGTGAGTGGATTCCGGTGGATTTTTGAATTTTAACCTTACTTATTATAAGATTTGTTTTGGTTGCCTTGGTAATTGATAACTTGTGAGTTATGTCTTGTAATTTCTTTGAATTTGGATGGATTCTCTTGGTCCGGATATGTGTTTGACTGAGCTCTTTTTCTTTTTAGCTATTGTTTCTTCCATTGTTGCTTCTCTTTAATTTTTGGATCTACTTTAATATGGAGCTTTGTGTGATTGTTGGTAGATCTGTTGTTGCTTGGAGTGCTTCTTTTCATATTTGTTGTTTTAAGTTATTGATGTTTATTATTGTCTCTATTGGTTTTTTTATTGCTTTCAAGCAATGTCTTTGCTATTTTTTGTTCTCTGTGACTTTAATCGGGGTTACCGATTTTGTTCTATGTTTTTGGGGTTATTTGGGTACTGCTTCGAGTGGAGGTTGTTGGATTTGATTGATGCGGCCATTATATCATGGTTGATGGTTGGCATTGTTGCTGATTGGAGAGGTTTATATTTAGGACGTTGTTTGTTGTTGTCGTCGTTTACTGAAATCTTTATTTTATTTTCTGTTTAGAGAGCTTCTCTTCATTTATGTTGTTTTGGAGATGTGGCTGTTTGAAGAAGTTTGTATCTGCTTATCTTATTGCTATTTTGAGAAGACTTTGTAATTTTCCAGTTCTTTGTTACTGTACTTCAAAGATGTCGGCTGCTTCTCTATTTTGGTGATATTTGGATTTTCTTAAAAGTTAGAGTTGCTAATTGAAATTTGTTGTAATGTGTTATAGTCCTAGCTTGCGTTGTTCTCTATTTCCCTTTTTGATTGGCTTTATTGTTTATGGAGTTCTTCGAGTCGTATTGTAATCTTTTTTCGTCTTAAATAAAGCTGGGTGTGACGCACATCTTTCAAAATAAAATACAATAAGGAGACAAAATTTTAGGCCAGAATATTTAACATAGAACTGAAAATTTCAAATTATCAATCACAACTTTAGTGACTCGGGCCACATCTTTGATATTAAGTTTTATCAAATCTGATATGTTCATGTTCAATAATAGCCAAACTTTATCATAAACAATTTCCAATATTAAGTTATTCCTTTGATTGTACTCTACTCTCATAGGTTGAGTAGATCTAAAATTATATATTTACCAAACAAATTTATGTATTTACATACAATCTAAATTTTAATACTTATATTTATAACAAATTGTCACATATCCATACATTAAAAAAAAAAAGATTTCATTTTCAAAAAAGTAGCAATGATGATATATTTATGCATGTAAATATTGCAGTTTAGGTGTTAGATACATAAATACATAACAATTGTGTGCAAATGTATATATAATAACATGAACACTTGTTTGATATAACATTTAAAATAATAAACATAAATTATGTTTACAATATAATAAATCATAAATCTCATACTGAGTCCCAAATTTCATTCAATATTTACATTCATCTTGTTTTGAAAACTTAACACTAAAAAGCAAAATGTCCCACATGGCTGCCATTTATATAATCAAGTTTTTCCAAGGCAGTTGAATAACCACCTTAATCTATTGGTTGAGAACTTGCAAATTTAAAGTTCAATCAAGAGGTCCCGAGTTTAAAGCCTTGCATTATATATTTAATGTATGACATTTACGATTACATTCGCTCAAATATCCCCAACAATAATATTAACTAAAAGAAAAAGCAGGAACAACAAAAGTATTGTACCAAAAATACTGGCACAAAACCACCTACAGAGACTGCAGGAACAAGGTAAAAACGACTCATCTTGATGCTCGTTTTCCACTATTTGGGTTTGATTTTGTGCATAGAATTCTCCTTCCCTTGGCTCGCCGGCGCTGAAGCACGGCTCTCCCACCAGTTGTCCTCATTCTTCTGCGGAATCCATGAGTGCGAGCCAGCGATTTCCGAGATCTTGATCTCTTTGTCATGCAGAGGGCAGCTTTCCCAGCTCTTACGACGAGACCTTGACGTCTGTTCTGCTTTGAAATTCTATTGGGAAGAAGATTTAGTCCTAATGACAAACCTGTAATCCTCAACCGACCGTTAGAATGTAAGTAAATAGCTCCGATAAATTATAAAAATCATTATAATTACGGCAGTTTTACGTGCATACGACTCAATTCTTATGCATTTATTTGCAAATCTAGCACCTAAAATGATTAATTTGGGGATAGTATTAGCGTTGATTCAAGTCGAGGCTATTAAATTTATAACCTCTTTTTAATTCCTAAATGAGATTAAATATAAATATGTTTGCATTTAACATTTCTTACCAAAATTGTATGTATAATATACATAATCAAATGTGTATGTAAATATTGTGCATTTTGACACTGATATTAAAAAACTAAAGATAACGTTCTATATTCTTCAACTATAAAAGAAATCAAACTTATAAATCATATAACAATGTAATGAGAGAGAAAGATGGAATATTGACCTTAAAAATTAGATTAATTTTGAGAATCCAATTTAATTTCAAACCAGAAAAATTTGGAAAGATATCCATGATTATCTGAATACAATTAGGAGAAGTATATAGCACACAAAAATGATATTCATATGATTTTTATTTATCTTAAGAAAACATATGATTGAATATTGATCTTAAGAAAATATATGATCAAATATCAAAAGAATTGATTTGGTGTGTTTGATGGCAGAAGGTGTGTCAGATAGATGCTGATGTTATTGAAAATATGTATGATAGAGAATTAATTAGTATTATAAGTAAATATAAAGTGACCCAAGAGTTCTCAGTCATCATAAATATATATCAAGGATCAATATTTAGTCCCCATCCTTTATTATTGTTCCTAAAAATGCTTGCAAAAGACATTGAAAGCTAAGTTACTTCCTGCATGCTTTTTTGCAAGTGATATAACTCTAGTAAGTTAAACATTCACTGAAATAAGTTAAAAAATATTTAAAAAATATGAAATTAAGAAGTAATAGCATAAAACTTGACTATATGTTATCTAATTTTAATGGGTAAAATGCTAAAGATTATAATTCAATATCATTAGAAGGTAAGATGATATTTAAGTGACAGGCTCAAGTATGTTGAATCCATTATACAATAGAAATAGACGATGGCATAATTCTGAAGTCATGATTGTATGGTTAAAATGGAAAAGTGTATCCAGAATTTTGTTAGACAAGAGGCTGTGACAGATATTTTAAAGGCCAATTTTATGAAGTCATAACTAGGTTGACAATGTTGTATTGATATGAATGTATGGCTATAAAAATTTATTGATATCTAAATTGAGTGCAAAAAAATAAAGATGTTAATACATAAGTGAGGCAAAGGTAGAGATAATAAATTAAGATATTGTTACATTAGAGAAATAATTAAAGTAAAATTTGGTGAAGAAACGATGAATGAAACATACTTCGAATGGCTTGAAAATGTACAATGAAGCGTAAAAAATACATTTGTTAGACAATTTGATAAAATTAATATTAAAGGATTAGAAAGTTAAAAAGACAAGTATAAGGTCAAATGGATAGAAGCTACTCATAATGATATACAAATAATGAGTTCTGCGCTTTAGACAATACTCATGGGAATAAATGGAAAATGAGGATTCACAATAGTGATAAAATATAGTTAAGAAAAGGCTAATGATGATTGATGATTTAGCACCATCATTGTTGTTTTTTTTTTTTTGGCCAAATTAGTGTCACATCAATAAAAGCAAATGAATGAAATAAAAGATAGAAGAGTTCAATAAGTTATTCAAATAATACACACACACACATTATCCTAACTATATAAATACAAAAAATAAATTTATAATACCAGGAGATTTGTTAAGAATATTACTTCATAAAACTTTGGTTTTCACAATTTCTAATAAAAATTTCATTTCATTATCGTAAGATGACATTTTCAATTTCATAGAAATTCTCCCAAATGCTGGTTAAGTTTTTTTATGGGTTTGGTCAGATGCTAAAAAAATCATCTTAAACGTCTATATTAGTAAAATTATTGAGAAAAGTGCAGCCCCTGACTTTTTGTAGGAGCCATTTTAGTCACAAAAATTATAAAAATGACAGTTTAGTCCTCAGACACTTTTAATATTGGGTTAAAATAACCCTCAGAGAGTCTAGAGACTAAATCATCACTTTTATAAACTCAAGGACTAAAATGACCCCATGTAAATAGTCAATGCACTATTTTGACACTTAATTCTTTCTAATATAATAAAAGTTTAGCAGACTGATCAAATATTAAAATATATTTTTGCTCTATGCATATAATGTTAGAATTATGTAATCAATTTATGTGTATAAAACCTTTCACGATGAAAAATTACAAATAGATTCATTTTTTTTTCTTTTTTAATTTTGAGTCCACTAATCTTAAATTTTTTTGCTTGATAAATTAAGGAGCTGAGAAATTCAAGGGAGAGAAACTATTCAAATTATCTCAATCCAATGTTTTGGTAGATGGCATCTTTTATATTTCAGAACTACTATTTCTTCTTAAAGGAAAATCAGTTTCACTTGATCAAGGCAATCAAAAAGGGCTTCACAGTTCAAATGCATGATCTAAACTTTAAAACACAGTGCTAAAATTTATGTCCATTCTTAGGTTAATTTTTTCACAAAATGTCGCTGAAATGCAGAAGCTTAAATGGATTTGCTCACAAAAAAGCACAATATATGACCTCTTAATAAATTTGAATTTCGCACATCTTTTTTCTATCTGACAATTATAACTAGAACTCTTGGCCACCAAAGTAATAACCAGAATGCAAAAAAAAATGGGCATATTTGCACACTGAAGTAGTTTGTGTGTGGCCTGAAACAATTTCCAAAGTTATATTTAAGAAACAATTTCCAAAGCAAAAGTATGAATAGATTAACAGTTTTAGGATCAACAATTGTTTCAATAGATGCCAATTTTACAAGAGATTATTTATAACACAAGTAGCTTACAGATGAATGCAATGTGTGCCATCTCTTGTATGTTGATAAAATGAATTTCATAAGATTGCACTTTCTTTTTTCATAGGTTTAGACTTTGAAAGCTGATTTGAGCATAACATTCAAGCTAAAATATTTTGGTGCGATAAGGTAGATACACAGGATAAAATTGTAAAAGAATATAAATGAATGCCTTTTTGCTTCAATTCAATAAAAATATGTTAAGGCATTGAAGAGGTTTTGCTTGCAAACAACAAAGCCTATCAATTATGTCTATGCTAGACATTTTTTTCGGTTATCAACAGCTTCTTCCTCGTTTTTTACAATTAAAAAGGGGGCATTTATATAAATAAAACACAATTCTTATGTATTTGCATATCTCACACCCAAACTTTCATATTTACACACAACATTCAAATCTTTACTACGACATAAAAAATAGCTCAACTATCACTTTTAAAGAGTAAAATGCACCTTTGCATGAATAGGTTAAAAACATCAAAACACTATGCATGTAAATATGAAAGATTAGGTGTGAGATATGTAAATAGATAATAATTATGTGCTGCACATGTAAATTTCGCAAGAAAATAATAATGCTTGTGCAATCTGAAGCACTAAGCAACCTATAGTGCACACTTTTTATCAGCAGAAACATGAAATGTATGGAAATTCTCATGGGAAAGAAGTGAAATAGATTTTGAGCTATTAATAAGGAAACACATTATTGCTTGATATATAGTAGAGACAAATCTTTTTAAAAGTGATGAGATTTTTCAATAATGATTAGGTTGGCGGTAAGGTCATAAAATAGGGTGCCATAAGTTAAAAAAATAATAATAATAAAAAAATAATGGAGAGCCATAAGTTGGAAAGGCTTCTCTTTAGCTTACTGTACTTCGTTTTTCCTTGCAAAGGTAAAGTAAATGATTATGATTGAAGCTATAAAAAATGTTATTAGATTGAGAGGTTCGCATCATTGAAACTTGATTTACACGAAGACTGTTAGATGTTCTTAAGAGATAATTAGGGTTAATCTTGAAATGTATCATAAGAGAACCAACTTGAAATGTATCATAAGAGAACCAAGCATATTGACTTATGGTGTCATTCATCAAAGGTAAAGTTAAATATTGCGTTATTTAAGTTCAAAAGTTTGCATGGGTGAAAAAATCACAACATGCTAGAATCCACAAGTTCATGCCATTACAAAACATTGTTTGTATATGCAATTTTTAATGACCCAAAAGTTTTTAAATGATGAAAAGGTTATGATGACCAATAAATTAAGTAATTAACTATGACTATTGACTTTGCTTTCATTGAGATAGATGAGAAAAAGTTTACAAAGTACTAAGGGGTAAAATTATAAATGGGTTTCTTTCTTATTTGTGATTTTCATGACTCTTCACTGGGAAAGGAAAGAAAAAAAAAAAGTTTAACTACCACTGTTATTTTGGTCGTTTATGGTGCGATGGGGCCATCTACATTCTAAAAGTATTTATTTTATACTGGCCTGTAACCCTAATTAGTTTTCCACTCAATTTCTTATTGGATTTTTATATGCGTCCATAGCCCCACTATCTGTAAAGGCAATTCTTTGGCAAACCACATAAGTTCTAGTATTCTCTTCCTTTTAGTTGTTTATTTGTGTTCGCATAACACCTCCTAGACAGGCCCTTTCTTTGTGCCACCAAGAGGTATCCGGGTCATTAAAACATGGTATAAAATAAGAAATGAACTAAAAACGTGAATTCTGAATTAGCTAACATGATATTAAGATATTATTTTCCAATGATTTTACATAGAATTTCAAATTCTAAAGGGCAGTTTGGGAAACCTTTTATTTTTTGTTTTCTATTTTTTTTTTTTTTGTTTTGTTTTTTTTTATGTTTTGATTTGAAACAAAAAACATTAATGTGTTTGATTAGAATATGGTTGTTTTTGAAAACATCAAAACACCCAAAAATTATTTTGAGTGTTTTCAAAAATATGTTTATTTGTTATTAATAACAAAAAATAAAAACATGTTAAAAATATATTAAACAAACATGTTTCTAAAAATAAAAGATAAAATTGATCCCAAAC